CTGTGGCGGGGGAGGATGCCCTGCAGCTCTGACTCACAAGACAGGCAGGAAGATGTTGTTCAGAAATCAAACATTTTGGTTTTCCAGTTGCAACATTTTCAGCTTTCGAATTGTCACTGCTGCTGCTGCTGAAACTTGGAGCATTCAGTGAAAGCTTCTCCTTTATTTTTGACCATCTCACAAGCTGGCAAAACCAGTGCAACATCCTCGGTGTACTGGCAAAATTGGGAACATTTCTAACCCCATTTCCCCCAGTAACAAGTTGGGTGATTCCAACCTCCGCCCCTGAAAAAAAATAGGAAATCATTAGGTTATCAGATCTGCGTGCTTCAGGTTTGGCTCCGAGTTCTCATTTTGGTATCTACTAAAAGAATCTCATGTGTTTTAGTGCATTTCTGGATTTCAAAGACTGATTAGAAAACGTTGGTGGCTGAGCACATCTTAATAATTGAGGCTGAAAATACTCACCCCTGGCAGTTGCATGTTTATGTCTGTGTAACAGTTCCTACCTTGGCACCTACAAGTTTCTGATGTAACGGTCAAGCTATTGAAGTAGGAAAAAATAGAAATCTGATGATTTTAAGAATGTCTTTGAAATGCAAGAGATAGATACCCATAATGCATTTTTAGGTACACAAACTTGCATTTAAATCTGTGGATGTCTCTACTTTCGTTCAAGAATTTAATAACATTGAGAATATTATGTTTGGTGGATTATTATTATTATTATTATTCAGACCATATTTATTTTGCAGAAGAGTGACCCACTGAAACAGAAATTTGTAGTTTTAATTTATTGAGAACTAGCTATGATGGTGAACAAAAGAATCAGGACATTAAAAGGTTCCCTTCTTATAGAAAAACAGTCATAGTTTATGATGAAACCATATGACAGTAACTTAAGGAAAAATTAGGTTTTTGGAACCTGTAAAAGAATTGATTGCAATACTATTAGTTTGGGGTTGTTTTGGTTTTTTTTAAACTCATTTTGTTCATAATAATACAGTTTAACAAATGGAAATATTTCTAAAACTTTATAAATGGTGCTTTTTTTTGAGCAAAATAGTGATTCTTGTTTACATTAAATATGTGATGTGAAATTTACTGTGCTGGAATCTGAAAGAAACGGGGACACCTGCAGAGAAATCACCTTTGTTATGGCAAATAGTAGAAATAATTTCTCAGTGTTTTATTCTGAATTACCATGTCTCTACATGCAGAAGTAATTGGGTTCTGTAATGACTGCGGCTGGCTGGTGGGAGGGAAGGGCAAGAGGAGAGGGCAGGAAAAGCAGCCACCTCAAAGTCAGCTGCTTGCAGGGGCTGGGGGAGTTTTGTGGCCAGAGACAGGAGATGTCCAGATCATGACCTGACCTTCAGCTGGAGCTGGCTTGGCAAAGCTGCTTCTCATAGCTGGTGACTGGCACAGTGTCCCTTTTTTTGGCTACGGAGGGTGGGTTACGAGGACAGCAAGGATGAACTCAGCATGGTTTGGGCTGTAGGTGCAGCAGCAGAGGCTGAGGCCATGCACGATGCTCAGTGCTCCCTCGCTGCCCACGGCGCTACCCACCTGCACCCCACCACACACGGCCCACACAGCCACCACCCCGCACACGGTGCCTCCAGCTGCACCTCATGGCTTCTTCACCCACTCAGAGCACAACAGAAATCATCTGGGGTCTGGGTTTTTTACCACCTTAAAAGATACATCTCACTTTGCAGACGTAATTTAATAACATTTCCAATCTTTATAAATTTGCTTGTCTTTTTTAAATACAATGTTCTAAAAAAAAGATACAATATCAAATCACAGGAAAAAAAAAGGTGTGTTAATACAACTTTCCTATTAGAAAAGGCAGTGTTTAGGGAAGGGCTGGGAAGTGGTTATTTTTTACTATTTTAAACAGATATAAACTTGAAGCCATTCACCATATTTACTTGTTTTTAGGGTTCAGCTAAACCATATCAGGGTATTGCACCATAGCAAAAAAAAAAAAAAAAGAGTGAAAAAGGGAGATTACACTAAACTAGTTTTCTGAGGGCACAGTTTGTTTTGATGAATAGACACACAGCATCCTATTTTCATGCCATCCTTGCATATATTCATAAATAAACTTTTTGAAACACTTTTGTTTCTAAACAAATGGAAGATGATTTTGTGCAAAAAAAAGGAAAAAAAAAACACTTAAAAAAGCAAACCTGAAAAAGCCCCTTTGTGAACAGAGAATGCTATTTGCTCCTGCCTTAAGACTATGCCCTCTGATACACTGTGTCTTAATACACTTACTTATACTACTGCACTGTTTAATATACAACATCAACATATTCTGTTACAGCATAAATAAGAAAGCTGCAGACCCAGGAAACAAACCCCCTGTGATTGACAGAGCATCATCAATGTCATATGAACCATTTTTGCTCTATATACACATACATATGTATATAAAATATTAATGATACACAAAACAGCAGATAGGGCATGTGCATGTCAACAAGAAAAGCGACACAGAAACTCAAACACGTGTGTGTATGTGTGTGCACAGAGATGTCGCAAGGGCAGCAAACCTACCCAGGAATTAGAAATCACATTTAAAAGCTAGTTCAAGGCAGTCTTAAACTCCACTGGAGCTATGCTTTGTTTACACAGTTAATGCACGTGGCTTTATTTGTGTTGGATTTTAGTAAAAGCAAAGAAACAAAAACACCTGAGTAAGCTTCTGTCCATCTCCCCTTTATAATTTGGGATGTCTTAAAATGAAGGGCTACAAAAAAAATCACTATGGCACGGGGTGTATAGTGGCCTAAATCTAAGCACAGTAAGAAAGATGTGTAAGAGCAATAAGAGCAGAGTATTTCTGCACAGGCAACATCTGACTTCACACAGGACAGTGCAGCAGGGCTGGGAAATTGCTTTGCCCTTTCTTGATTTGGTATCAGTTGAAACTGGAGAGGGGTAAGAACAGCTGAAGGAAAACACAAACCCAATTCAACTTTAAAAAAAAAAAAAAAGAAATCTCATCACTGTAATCTGCTCCCCCCACCCGAAGGTCCTCTTCAGGTCATTCCTATACAAAATATTTGGTAATTCCAGGTACAGTCTGTCATGAAGCTGAACGTGTAGCAGGCACTGATGACAGGAAATACAGCTAGGACATTAAAGTGGCCGGTGACTCCTTGTGTCCACCCCCCGCACAGTGTTTCAGCCTGGAAAGTCACAGGCAATGATCTCTCTTAAGGCAACTGAGCTATAATGCGGGAGTAGAGGGGATCACCTCTGGGCTTGTAGTTTACTCATTTTGGGGGGTTCACTGCCCATCCTATATGTACAAGCCTCCCTAACAGGTACTAGTGATTTGTTTCCACTGTTGTGGATGTACGCATCAGTATATGGACACTCAAACACAGCATTCACATCTGGTGACAAAGCTACTAAACAGGCCTGCGCGCATGCACTTTCAAGGTAAAAACACCTCTGTGCCCACGTGTCATGTGAAGTAAGTGTCTCACAGCTGGCATGAAGAGCTAAGGCATGAGAATGTAAAGGCAGATATTTGTAATGCTTTATTTCACCAGTGTCTTTCCTCTTTAACTTCAGTGGTGCTGCTCCTGACTTACACCTGCAAAAGTGAAAGCAGAAGAGGGAACTCGGTGTGGCTCTGATAGTATGTATACATAGGAAATGTATATCAAATATAGCTACATGTATCAGGCCAAGTTGGCCTAGGTACAAGCGTTCATGGTTCCAGCGAATCTCTTTTATAATAAATATGTGGGGTTGCATGCACCTGTGAATGAAGAACCTGTAACTCTGTGACAAGACTGCTAGTCTTGGTAGTTACGTGATTGTGTTTATTGCAGAATATCCATTAATTATGCAGAGTGGAAGTATTTATACATTAAGTTAATAGGATGGGTTATTTTTACAAATGTTCCCCAGGAAGTATTGCAGCACTGATTTTTATGCAGCTGCAAAAATTTCCTTTTTGCCCAGTTTTAAAGTATGAGGGTGTTCAGGGAGAGGAATGAACTATTTGGAAGAGGAAGTTAAGTAGAAGCTTTAAAAAAAAAAGGTGGGGGGTTATATCAGCTGTGTTTGGAGCTAAAATCTATTAATCAGAGAAGGTTTTATTCCAACTGACGTTACAGTATCTACAGCAGAACCTGCAATGGAGAAACCTCTTGGTGGACTTTTCTGCACTCTGCAAAGTGCTGCAGTCTCTGGTCTCCATCCAGCAAACCAACCTTTTTTTAACCTTCAGATTAGTTCCACTGAAGTAAAAGTAACTTAAAGCAAATGGTGAAATGATCTGTTGAATAGGAAGCCAGGGTTCTCAGCACCTGTGCAGGGCTTGGTCCCTCATTAAACAGCAAGTGCCAGGAAAAAAGGAGAAGGCTACACATTTCAACTGGCTGGTTTAATTCAGCTCAGTGCTTTAAAAATAAATAAGTGCAACACTTATGGGCAGAGTCACAAAATCTAGAAGAGGACATCTCTGCAAGCAAAATGGGATTTTTTTTTTCATATGTAAGAGAAGGACATTTGGATATTTACCAGGCAGTTTAAAAAGATGAAAAATGTACATGAGGAGACTTTCCTCACACATATTTCTAGCTAGTGCTCTTCTCAATTGTACATCATGCTTTCCTAAATAACTAAAACCTAAAAAAGAAAGAAAGAAAAATTAAATACATTGTAACTTGTTTATGCAGAGAGAGAAGGGGTTGCTTAATGAAAGGTGAGGTTTTATTTGATAGGGAGAGGAAACATTTATTCAAAGAAGAGCCAACAATACCCTTTTTCTAGACATTAAATGCAACTGATACTTCACATTGTATGAATCACAAACACAAGGGTGTTTCTTTTATTTTCCACATACCTGCTCACCTGTCTAGTGACAGCCACAAGGCATGCCCTCGTGTCAATACCTGCAGCACCCTTGCAGGTGGAAATGTCCTACTTTTTACCACCAAAGTAACTTGGGACCCTCTGGCTGGGGGGGGTCCTGTCCCACCCCAACTGTCTGTGAAGTCATCTGAGATGGGCCCCTCCATCTTTAGTTGAGTATAATTTTCCCAAAAAGAGTCAAATAATACCAGGATGTAAAAAACCAGACATCTGGTGTAAGGGCCCTATGCTCAGGGTGTTAAGAGAGAAAGCTTGGCCACTCCTGCCCGATGCGTCCTCGTCCACCTGGTGCATCCTGTGCAGGGTCAACAGTTTTGGCAAGGGAGGTTTGCAAGAAGCATCAATTAAGGGAAGGCTTTTCAGCTACCTGACTACAAAAGCTCCTACTTACATTACTAAAGGTTTTTGGTGATCAGACATTTTCAGTAAAAACTTTAGTACTCATTTTAGAAAACTGAGTTGCAATGCATGCTACCAAAAGGAAATATCTTTTCTTGTGGGAGAAGATGGTTGAACTTCTGATTCTTCTGTTACTTTCGCTGTCCAGTTGACTTGTGCTTTGTGGCTGTTGTGGCTTGTGCAGCTCCGGGAACACAGCTGTGAGGCTTGATCTGTGCCAGAGGAGTTTTAGCTCATATGGAAACGGTGCTCCCCTCGAGTGATGTGGGAAGAGAATTCGTACCTGTCCTGGCTGTGGTAGCCACACATGTTGCATTCGAAAGGATCGCGGAACCCGTGGCAGCCCATATGGATCGTGTACATCACGTGATCCAAGAAAAGGACTCGACAGTGTTCGCACTTGTAAACTTTCACCTGCTCCCCATTGCTGCTGATCACTTTGAAAGCATCCTGGGAATTGTCAGTACCTGCCCTCAGGACTTCGTACTGCCTGCCTTCTTCTTTTATGGAGATGCCATTTCTTGCATGGGGACCTATGTGGTTTGTCAGGTAAATTAAACCACTGCGCTCCTCATTATTGCTCTCTGTATCTGTTGAGTCTTGGCAGCTGTTGCTGGGGGAGGCATCACGTTCGGAGGAGACAGATTTGGCTTTGGAAAGCAGCAATAAGTTTTCCACCGCGCTGTCCTGAGCTGTGTGGTTGGAGCGAGCCTGACTGTCCCCGAGAGGTTTGTGGAGCTGATACATGGGGCTGATGACGGGCACCACCTCAGAACCGCCTGGTGGTGTCTGGACAAGGGGACGCAAGGACTCTGCCCCCAGGTAACTGATGGCGTTATTAATGGCCTGGTCTATCACATGCGTCTGCATGATCTCATTCTCCTTCTCATAGTTGGTGGTGGCATCGTATGGGAGATCGGGCAGACATTTCTCACCTGCAGTGAAAAACAAGCAGAGGTTAGAGGATTGATGTCTACTTAAGGAATTTTGGATCAATACAAAAGCAACATGGAAGAAAAGAGTGGGTCAAATCCATCTCTGAAATTCACCTGATACACTCAGAGTTTACTAACAGCTGGTCGGAAAAAAATGTTTGGTTGGTGTTCTTTTTAACCTGCAAATATGAGGTCTTTGGAAAAGCAAATGGATGAAAACAGATTCTAAAAATAATTATATGGGGACTCATGGGAGGTGAGAGATACAGATTGAGTGCTTCATCCTCTCTGCTTTCTAACTGGACTCCCTCAGCTGCTTCCTACAGCGAGCTGAGACCTTTGTGGTTAGTGCAGACAGAGTCTCAGCACAGTCACAGTGAGCCTGGCCTTCGTGCTTCAGATCATGAAGCAAATTATTAATATTTTTCCCTAAAATATTACAATTTTAGAGTCTAAGTGGTATGTTTTAGTTTTAGACCTTAAGTTTCTTACAAATAACTCACATAAACAAAGTGGTCATTTCAGGGAAAAATCAACAAAAACTTAACTTTTCATATTGCCACCTCCCTCCCCACACCTTGTTTTTTAAATAAGCTATGTTAAGACAAATTACTAGAAGCTACTCATGTTTCTAGAAATGTTGTATCAAAAGGCTACCATCTACAGGAGCAGAAAAGAACTATGGAAGAAATTTAAGTGCATTTGTAGTTGGAATATATTTTTCCTACGAGGTAAAAAGCCCTTTATGGAGCAAGATTACTCATTACTTGTAACTTTGAGTCTATGATTTGGGATGCCAAAAGCAAGTGGGAACTCTTAAATTTTTTTATTTTTTTTAAATCAGACTGGACTTATGTATCTCTAGCTGGATACCCCAGTATTGAACACTGAGTTTCACTACTATTTCTTAAAATTCCTGGGCAGACAGGACTAAGAAAAACATAGAACGCAAAAGTTAAGAGTGCACAAGATGCTGATTTTATGAACCTGAACAGTCTTCTCAAGGAGTGTAAACCATCAACGTTATTACCAGACCCCAATAATTTTGTGCAAATGCAAAAGAATAAAAAATTCCCACAGTTTCCTGGGACTGCCAATAACAGATTGTTTACAGTCTGGATGGATTTTTCTAGCTCTGCAGTTCTTGGGAAATTCATTGAAAGCCACAATCATCTTTATGAGGTTCTGTCACCATTTCCTAATCAATATGACATTTGCTGGTAGACCTTGGAAACCCCTAATTTGTCTACAAGAAATGCTAATAGGAGCATGGAAAATTTGCCAGAAGATCTGCAAATTAATTTATCAATGATTTCCCACCCAGATTCTACTTAGATTGACTGTTCAAAGTCTGGGAAAAGCCCAGAAAAGTTCTAGCATGACACTATTGCAATGATGGGGCTGAAGTGTAGAAAGTCCCACAAGAAATTGTTTCATACCAGGTTGTCCATGCTCTGCACACAGAGAAAGAAACACTCTGAGCATTGTGCAAGTTCCTACTAGGGATGCAGGGTACAGACACCTTCTGGCTGTGCTGCACAACCTTCTGCTTCCTCTTGTTGCCTCCCCCTATTATTCTGCCAATTTGAGCACCCCTGTACCGGGCTGCATTTTTTTTTCTTCCAGATTTACTCTTTCTAATGCTATAGTTTGAGGCTTAAGATTCAAAATAGATGTTGTGAAAGACTCTCGAATTAAATATAGAAGAGCTCTCATAGCATGAATGCGTACCCTTGACTCAAGGAGAAAAAATGAGGTCGTAATTATTTCTATTCCATGGGCACCATATACCACTGACAAGTGGGACTGGTCCTCCTTACATACAAGATTTTGGGCATCCAGAAGGCATGTTTTTAATAGCTGTTTCTTGGGTAGGTTTTGCTTTATGTAGCATAACTAGTTGGTAGCTGGACTGAAAGGATCAAGTGCTCATATGAAAAAACTGTTTCCAAGCAGTGTCTGAAACAGACACAGACTTGAGGCAGGCAGGTATCATCTCTGTATCTGGGCAATGCAGGTAATACTTGCACTCATTAAAAACAATAGCTCATTTCTGTGGTTATTAGGGCACAAGTAAATTGAACTGCTAATGGTTTGATGCACTTCAAGCTTTGCACTGCTCAGGGTTCTGCAGCAGGTGCCTAAATAGTAAAAATGCACTCAGTGCACATGGGCACACTGTTGTTGCTATCGTTGTTTGTTTTGTTTTTTGTTTTGTTTTGTTTTGTTTTTAACCCCTCTCTTTTCTTTGCTCCCTATTGTTTTAAAACGACAAAGGTGTCAACCTTGCCTGCAGTTCTCACTTTCAAGTTTGCATGGCCCAGTTCTGCTTTTGGGTCTATCCCAGTTTGGAATACAGAGAGAATTTTACAGATAACTGGCTTAATTTGGTGAACAATCTCACTTCTGAAAAGTAATTAATTTAGCCCTGAGAAAAACAAGTGAAGCAGCAGACAGTCTCTCCCTTCTGTGGAAGATGCCATTTGCTCCATCTCCCTGGAATTCAGCATGGGGAATGGGACGACACAGTAATCTACAGGAGCAATAAACATGTTTTATTACCCAAAAGCTCTCTTGACCAGCCAGCCCAACCTTGTGTTAATCAGGAATGTACCTATTAAATGAAGCAGCAGGTGAGGAATGGAAAGGAAAGGATTTGGGGGTATTTTCTTGTCAGAAAAGTTCGTCCTTTTGAAGGTTAGCAAATTTCCATAAATATCTGCTGTCAGTAGGTTGTCTCCCTGCACTGCACTCCAAATAACTAACTGACAGGAAACTCTGCCCTCCTAAAACTCATTGTTCAAGTGGCTGTCTCTGCTGTTTCTCAGAGTGAAGAGAGAAAAGGAGAACGAAAAAGCTAGTCCACACCCACAGATACATCACATATAGGATACTTCCTAGTACCTTTTATATTTTAACACTTCTGGTCTTCCTGGAGCTTTCATAGAATTAGTATTTTGCCTGATGCAGTCAGCTACTAGAGCACCTAAATTAATCAGGTTTGCCTTACATACTTGATACAATTTTCTTAACTACCCCTACTACAACTTTTGTCCTTTCCTACACATAAACATTTCTTATCCTTGACTACCTCCTGGAATTGTTGCCTTTGGACTTGAAAACAAGCTTGGGCTTCCATTTCAAACATTTTGTTGCACATGGCTAAGATTCCCCCTTCTTTGTCTCAGAAAAACTAATTTTCCTTTCACTCTTGTGTCCTCACTGAATAAGGTATACTAGGAATTTCTGTTCCATAAACTGTTTTTTGCCTTGACTTTCAGCCAAATACCTTCTTAATGTGTGTTTTGTTCAAAAGACTTCAGTTTTTTCTAATTGTGTCTTATAGAATACTATTACAAATGAATGTGCAGAGAATTATAAAAGAACCTACATAGATATATGCTGTCCTCTGATCTCCCATGTTTTTATTCATTTAAGACTAACTTCACATCGCTGACAATTGTTGTCTGTGGGTCTCACTATTACAAAACTGATAAACCACTACTTGGTACAGGCTTACCAAACAGAATAATATAGGAGTAGCCTCCATTTTTATATTGGTAAGACAAAAACCACTAGGTGCAAATGGGCATGAAGTTTTTGCATCATTTATAGCATGTACCCAAAGATCTTTTAATTTAGGTATTATTCTCAGACCTACATTTATTTATTTATTTCCATGATCACTTTGGGCTGTAAAAGTACACAGACTTTATGAAGGGGTGAAGAATATTATCCAGCCTATGCTCAACTGTTCACAAATGCTTTCACAAACACCAGTATGCCCAGATCTGGATGTCATCCAAGAAGTTAATAAAACAGCCCTGAAATTGTGGTCAAATGCTTTCGCAAGAGCAAACTTCTATTCCTATCTTCAGGTTCTTAAGGTAACTTCAAGAGCCTTTTCAGATCTAGTAATGATCTGGTTCAAAAGCATTAGAAAAAGACAGCAAAATTACTTAAAATCAGTCTCCAGATGTGGAAAATTAAACATGCAGAAATGTATACTGGAGAATTTTGTTTGTTTTTTCCCAAACACATCACTGTATCTGCTTATATACAGACAGATATTGCTAATTTAGTAAAACAAGTGAAATCATAAAGCAAAAGTAAAAATCCTGTGAGACCTTTTTTGGGGGTTTGTTTTGTTTTACTTTTTAGGAGACAGCAAACGTTTAACTCTTACCAACAAATTTCTGAGGCATAGAGCTCTTACGTTTGGCGACGTTACTTGCTAGTCTATCCAGCACGAGGGATCTTTCTGACCCTATCTTGCACAGGTCTTCAGCCATTTCACTCTGGTTAGTTTCCTCTTTTATGACTGAAATCAAACGACATCAGAAGGGTTAGGCACGCTTGTTCCACTGTAATGGAACCACTGTCTGCAGGTCACTGTTTCTCAGATATCCAATGCCTTCCCACTCCCAGCCAGCTGGAAGGAGGAGCTCACCACTGCAGACACAGGATGACTCTGACTCCTGGGAACAAAGTCCCTCATGCCGATGAATCTATGTGTATGTTCACATTTCCCTCATTTAGGGTACGAAAATGAGATTGCAACTGCAAGGTGTCTGCCTGTGTGTAACGTATTCACTGCACCCTTGTTCTACAGCCACTCTGCATTGCCATGAATAAATGAGGACCTAACATCATCCTGGACATGAAGCAGTTCCTCTTTCCACCCTCCTGCTGTCACCCCCCACCGTTCCTCTGCACCATTCCCAGTGGAACTGCTGGTATGACCATTGCTTCTTTAGCAGGAAAAATGGACAAACTTCTCAACTCCAGCAGTGGAAGATGCATTTCTAAGCTACACTAACCCTTCTCTCCATCCACCTTTCCCCCCTAGTAAATATTTCTATAATTCCTTGATGAAATTTTAGATTTTAAATGATAATTTAAGTTGCTATACTGGAGCACTGATTTCCAATACTCAAACCTCCGGCTGAGACACTGTAGAATTAGACAGCAGCTTAGCTGTGAGGCTCTAGAAAAGGGAAACTATTTAATTTTCACTACATTTTACTTCAGTACTTTCCTGAAGAAACAGAAGGGATGTATGAAAATGTACTGTCAAAACAATGACTATGAAAAACATACGGACAGGTATTTCTGACTCCCAGCATCTAAAAGAAAGGATATGCAGCAAGATGACAGCACAACTCATATTTGTTTGTTTGCTTGTTTTGCAAGAGAGAAAGGGGTTAATTTTACTTTTACCTGTTGCTAGAATATTGATATTTTTCATGTACTTGTGAGTTGCTATTAAAGGGAGAAACAAAAGATTATTTTTAGACTTCTATACTGCAAGCTATTTCAATTACGTGCACCGCCCCGCTACATTTTACCTTCTGTGCTTGCTGAGAATTTGTTTTATCACTGGATTTACTGGTTCACAGAACCCATTACTCTGGTACCTGGATGTTTCTTAATAGTTGAGAACACACCATTCCTATGCAATGCTATTTTGGCAATACACCCCTGCCACAAAAGCATGATTGTGAAACTCTCTTTCTTCCTGAAAGATGTGAAATCAGGGCCTGGTGGATAACTGGAAGGAACAGGTGAAGTGTCCTAGACAACAGCACCCCGCAATACCAAACTGAAGAGTACACTACTGGTTCTTGAGCCCCTGCTGCAGCAACACACACTGCAGTGGGAGTGAGAGTGAGAGTGAGAGTCACAGTGACAGTCATAGTCACAGTCACAGTGACAGACAGTCTCATGCAATTATGCCCCAGCCCCATAAGATGCTGAAGACTGTGACCAATGCAAGATATGAGCAGAATTTGGCCATGAAGGTACAGAAGAGGAAAGGGCACTGATGGTACCAAATAATCACTGAACAAGCACAGGCCAGCATTTCCAGGTACCACTTCAGGAAGAGACTTACAGAGGATGTTTTAAAGCAGTCCATTCAACAGGGAAATAAAACATTGACCTTTTAGCTAAAAGTTGAAATGATCAAGAAATAGCTGTTTAGGATAAACTAAATAATAATAAACTATTCCTGCTGTTATTTTATATAGGTCTGGTAAGACTTCATCACACTTCCACTCAACTCAAACACCAAACTCCAAACAATATCTCTAATAGAAGAGGTTCACATGGACAGTGAGATTCTAGTCCTCTAAAATAAGAATTTTGCCATTAAATTCAGCAAGTTCCTAATTTCATGCTGAATCTCATTCTCTTAAAGAAAGCAAACAAAAGTTAAAATGTAAATATAATTTCTTGTTTCTCTCCTCACTCCTCTTTGTTGGATCTTTCTCTTATATAAGTACTTTCTCAGTTACATTTGTTAGATTTACAAGCTGACAGAAAGCTTCTACCAGTTTGGGCCCTTTCAACTGATATTTTTATGTACACTGCACAAAATATTTTTAAAATACTGTAAAAAGCAATCCCACTGTAGCAGAATGTCAGATCAGATGCCCTAGCAGATTTTTGTACCAACTTTTTTGGAGTCTGGGAAAACAAAAAAAAGAAAAAGCCTGAATTATGGCTCCAATAGCTTCATATCACACCTTGAAATATTGTAGGAACAGTGGTAGCATAGCTACTTGCCTTTCTACATATTACGTAGAATGCACTAAAAAACTCAGGGCACCCACTCATTCTCAACTGTTTCATTGTACATTGCACATTGAATTTTTAAGGAAAATAATGTAAACATGGCAAAATGGTCTGTTTGCAGTGAAATATAACAGCTTAGGATGCAAAATACTAGGAAAAAATGCAGGAAAGTTTCATTTTTTAGGAATGTAAAGAATCGATGTATTAACTGAGTACTAAGTTTCTTTAAGAGTGAAGTCTTTGGCTGGATACAAGATCTAAACCCTGAAGTTAATATATCTTTTTTTTTTCTTACTTTGCAGAAGCACTCCTATTATATCAAATATGGATTTAAATAAGACTTTCAGTATGTGCAAGGAAAAAGTAATTCTTCCAAAGCATTAATGAATTCCCCAAATTTTCATCCCACTGAGATATTAGATATTCAGCCTTAAGTTAGTTTAAACATTCCTGTCATGATCTGCTATAAACACAGGCCCATCTCTAAAATTGTATCATTTCTTCTTAAAGTTTATGGTTCCTGGCACCAATTCTGTCTGGACATTTTTACTTACTAAGACTTTAGTTGGAGTTCAGTTACTCAACCACACAGATTTTCACGTTCTGCATGCAGGCATTCATATCCATGTTCCAGACACCAAAAATTCAAATCCCAAGACAGAATATTTGCTTCTAAATCCTATCACCTCTTTGAGGAATAAGTGTTGCTGCCTACTGTATATTACATTGTGCTTTTCTGTTTATATATTCTCCAGCCCCTCAATAAAAGAGTGCTGCTCTAATACACTGTCTGCCAGAAGCATCTCAGCCGTATTCGCTGCCATCATTATGTGCATATACTTTACATTATTTGATAGTATGTAAAAACATATTCAGGTTCTGTCCAGATATAAAATATTAAATGAGGCATCACTGCAAATAGGTCAGAGAGAACCTTCCATTTTTGTCATTTGACAAGCCATATAACATATACTGACAGGATCAAGAAAGTATGCAGGAAATGTAACTTACTGGATGGGCTTAGACTCTACTACAGAAGCTGGATCATATATTCTTTATCTATAACTATACATGCAAGGGGATTTTGTATGGTTCTTTACTGCCATCAAACCCATATAGATATTTAGCATCGCTGCTAAAAAAATTCCAACACCAAACACCTGCTTGCTCTGTTTCTGGGCATAGTTTTTGGTTTGATATTCTTTACCTTCATCATAAGTCCAGTCTCTCAGAGAAGCAAAACAGCTCCTCCCCTTCCCCCAGTTTCCTTCTAAAGGGGAGACTGGGAAGAAGGCTGTCAAAATTTTATTAGCCTTTTTGGGATGTCTCAGTCAAACTGGCTAAATTAAATGCCTCTGGCTTCATGTCCTCCTGCTTGGAAGAGTGAGATCAAAGAGAGGTGGCTCATCCATGTCAGATGAGTTGGTCCCAGTGGCCAAGTAAGCCCCTTAAGTTGTGCCTGGGAAGGGCAAGAGATGTGCAATGAGGAAGATACTGCAGCCCTACCAAGAACACCGGTAATAAGTCTTTATTAAGAATATATCCACAGGAGTACTGTGATACAGAACTCCAAGCAGAAGGAAAAGGTGGTGAGATGATGGAGTCATGCTGCCTTCAGATGGTGAACTGAAGTTTGCCAGGCCTTACAAGTGTTCTGCTACATGCCCAGATTTTACTTTTGCTTTTTGTTTGAGCTATACAAAACAAGACAACAGCCAAATATTTATAAAATATAGAATAAATCCAGATGCAATATCATACATATGGGGGGGTATGTGTGTGTGTGCCTTCCCAACGCAAAATATACCACAAATGGTACTACTGCTCCTTTCACACTCCTTTTTCTGCACACATGCCAAGACAGCATTAATCCCCAAATGGACATGTTTATTACCTGAATAAAGGCTGCTTGAGATATTCATGGTTTGCAGGTAGTTATGACAGCGTTCTTTATGTTCTTCCAAAGAGCTGCGCTGCTTATAGCTGCGACCACAGTATCCACACTTATGGGGTTTTCCAACTGGAGAAAACACAATTAATTGAGAGATTCAGATGAGGTATTCAACAGCATATTAGTAATGGTAAGAAGAACAGGAAAAAGCTCACCCAAAAATAAACCCATGCTGTGGTGAACTGAAGAAAGATTTTGTCAATTTAAAAAAAAACACAAAAAAATAATGGAAAAACAGTTGTGTATCTTTACATCAGCAAGCCAATCCTGTGGGTGCTGCAAACTGATTTCATGATTCACATCAGATAAGGACTGTGACATTACATCTTCAAAAACAGCACCTACACAAGTTAGCAACCATGACACCTTCAAAGGTCTCAGTGTAGCTGCTTTATTGCCCAGCTCCCACTGAGACTGCCAAGGAGTGGACGGGTGGTGTAGGCAGAGACACCTGCCCACAGCTGTATGGCAGTTCTGATGTACCCAGAACCAGCTCAGCCCTTTTAGGACAATGTTAAACTTCACATGTTTCCTGCTTCTGGAAATTCACGAGAAATCGCATGACAAAATTTCTTCCATATTACACCAATTCAGATGTAGGTATTTCTAGGAATTTCACAGTAACAATATGGTTTCACAGACTTTTGAACCTGAATTCTCTGTCACAGTATGACAAGACTGTCAGGATATATGTGATTGCACAATTTTAGATGGTTACACAGCTTAACTTCTGCATTTTATTTACAAATTCCCAGGAGAAAATCAGACTCGGACATCCAACTTGTTTTATAATGTATTGATGTCAATTTGTCAATTGCAGGAACTAATCACAACCTATAGTTTACGCACTGTCTCTTTAGCTACAGACTCCTCAGAGTTTGGCAAAAGTGTCTAGGTGCAATTTCATGTATGTAAGAAAAATTATGTTTAATATTGTGTAGACATGTAATAGTGAGGGAGAGGGTGGCAAAATAGTATTTTAAAGATGTGCTTTCCTGAATCAGGCCAGGACTGAACAGGAGAAGTGGAAGTGATTTTGGACATCTGGGATCAACACTAGGGATGTTATTATGCAATGTTTGTGCTAGAGAAGAATTTCCTCAGTTTTGTATAACACAAAAGTGTCACTTTGAGAGCTCCCCTGTGCTACCCAGAACTTGGTCCCAAAGCCAACTTTCTCAAGTGAAGTTACCCTTGTCTGTTCCAGCAGTGTGTTTTGGAGGTCTCCAATCCAAGTAATGATTTGCATTTCCAGCTTAGCTTGGGAAACTAGATGAGACAACATTCTGCTTTTAAAGGCACTTTAAAGGTGCTAAATTGGATTTGCTTCACAGAAGGTATGTGACTATGGCTTCTGTCAAACAATGAGAAGTTCGTGGTAATGGAAAAGTGCAGGTATTCAAAATATTTTCTCTGATCTCCATATTACTGTTGAGACAAAACACTTAAAAACTCTAGCAGAGTCCTCTTATTTGGAAGATTATTATCTTCCTGTCTCCCACCCTTTCCCTCCTCAAAGTACTTGTAATAACAAGGTGCAACAAACAACTGCTGCTAAATGCTGTAGGTGGTATTCTCTCCTTAAGTCCAGAATGACTACCAGACCGGAGGTTTTTGAGACTTTGTGACTTAAAATCTACTGTGTTTACACCTTGTATTATCTCTGTATGTGGATAACTGCCATCCAAACCCTAAAACATCCATCACCTTCAATTCACGTTTGTAGTTCCATGAAATGGATTCCTCACACGATGCTTGTGAGATGAAACCCTAATACAGAAACTTTTAATTAGCCAAAAGGTATGGGAACAAAACAAAACCTGGTGAAGGATGATGAGTGTGAGACGTGTGTAGTCATTTCTTTGCTGCTAAAACACTGCAGCCAGCACACAGCTTGCTTAATCCCAACATGGGGCTACTTTCTACCCCACAGTGAGAAGGCTTGGTGGCCACGAATGCCCCCATCTCCTCAACAGGTGCAGTGACGAGCACCCCTGGATGGTCTCGCACCCTCACTTACCCGAGTGAGTCCTCAGGTGTCCCGTGAGGGCATCCCTGCGGCGGCAGGCATAGTTGCACAGGTGGCACTTGAAGGGCTTTTCACCCGAGTGCAACTTGATGTGGCGCAGGAGGTTGCCCTTCTGTGTAAAGGAGGCCCCGCACTGATTGCACTGGAAAGGGCGTTCTCCTGCGGGGAGAAGGAGAAAATACGTGAGAGCAGAAAAAAGCCTTACGCAGTAACAAGAGAAAGACTTCAGTGAGAAAGTTGTTTTCTCACTGCTGCTCTGTGACTTCCACCGGCTGCAGGTTTGATATAACATGAGGCTTTCAGACTAAACCTGCCAGTTTCTTAATGCTTCACTGGCTGGGTCAATTTGATCTGAAAATCTAATTTTTTTTTTCTAAATCAGAATGGCACATCACAATGCAAATTCAAACTCATTTAAATAAAGTGACTGCAACATTTTGTGTTGAAGAGCCACTCTTCCTGATCAGCAGTTTTGGAATAAACCAATATCCAATTTTGCATGTTGTGGCATTTGGTGGGGTTTTTAATGTGGCTTTTTTCAAAGGGTCTTTAAAATATGCCACTGAAGCAGCAAAATAAAAAGGAAACTCATTAAAAATGCATTTCAGGATCACAAGTTCATTTCAGCGTTACATTCTTATATTTAAATGAAAGGCACTTCATTATAACAGTTATAATAACTTCTTTTCATTTACATTTTCCCTGTATTTTCCCTTTCAATTTCTTCTCCATTACCTGTCTGTCCCTAAGCAGCCAAATCAGGAAAGAGACAGAGAAAGAAAGAGTGAAATCACACAAGTTAAGACAGTGCAAAGGAAGCCCTGCACTGCCATGCCCACATCCCGGCCATTCTCTGGGTGAGGTATGAGCAGAGGAGCTGCACAAATGGGCTCTGCTGGTCTGCGCTTTGGATAGACACAGGGCAAAACTCAAAGGGACACAGCCTTGGTTCATCTAAACCGGTGCCTGTTATCAAGGAATCAAACAGCCTCTGAAAAATTAATATGGCTGCTGTATGCTTGTCAGTTTGAAATTAGTAAGCTCATTTAGTTACTTAGCTATATTTAAAAATTTAGGATAGATAAGGCCTTTTCTTAAGTCAGTGGGAAACAAAATACATTTCCAGTTGTATCAGGTAGAAGGAAAATTTACACATGAGAGCACTCCAGCAGCAGGAACCGCTCCTGCATGCCCTTTTCTCTGCAGCCCTCAACTAAGTCAAACCAGCCTTTGAAACTCATTTGCTGAATTCTGTTTTTCTTAGGCATAAATGTAATCTGCTATAGTAATTATAATGCATCGACAATATTACAAACAGCCCAGAGATGACCTGTTCTTTTGATTTTCTAAATATAAAAATAATATTGAATTTAAAATCTTAGTGCTGAAGTTAAAATATTTTTTAAAAAATACAAGTTAAATAATTTCATTCTTCTCTCTCACTTAACCATCATGTATTATTTTGCACATCTAGGACCAACTTGTATGTCCATACATGTGCAGCATGATTTTTTTTTACTTTTGCGTACTGCAGTAGAAGAGGTGAAAATCAAGCAGACAGCAGCACAGTCCCAACCCAAAAATCTGCAAACTCTACCATTAGGGCTGGCAGCTTTAGCATTGAGCAGTGAAATGAATCTACTTTATGCCAAGACTTTTTCATTGGTCAAACAGCTTCAAGCAGGTCAGCAATAGTCTCTGTCAAGCCAAATGAGCTCACTTTCTTTGTCCATCAAATAGCTGTGTCCATCAAAACTAAATCCTCAACTGGTTCAACTGGGATGGCCCACAAAAATGTCAGCATTAGCTTTACAGGATTTTGCAGTGTACTTCATAAGCCATGCACAGTAGTTACTTGGGTGAAAAGAAAGGAGTAAGAGTCTGTCTGCTTTACCTCTTAACCTATGAGGCACTTACTCAGCATAGAAGGTATTTTTTCAGAAATGGACTGAAACAGTAATGAAGAAATCAGTTTGTCAAAGGGGGACACAAATTCAGAAGACATGGTTAATTGCTACTAAACAGCTTTTCTAGCATTCATTTCTGTTAAGTTTTACTCAAAGGAGAGACAGAGGAGAAAATTAGGATTGTAAAAGGACTCCAGGAATGAAATGTAAAGCAAAATAAGAACGAAATGTATCTGCAGCCTACAGCTCTCTCAATGACAGGGTGAAATCTTGCACTGGGTGGAGCAGACGGATGGAGCATTTCAAATGAGACTGCTGCACACCAAATATTTCAACAAGACTTACACTGGGATCAAATGTAAGGGAACCTGTGCTCATGTTGCTGTACAAGGGACACGACACCACCACTGAAAGACCCTGAAACTATGAGTAGCTCAGCCAGCCCTCAGTCATCCATGCTGCAGCTACGAGGGTGGGGAACGCCTGCCTTGTGAGCCCAGCAAAGCCCCCAGCCCTGCTAAGATGGAGATGGTCACCGGTAGAAGGTTACTGGGTGTGGTGCTATCCCCCCAAAATGGAGAAGGGACAGAATGGAAAGGAAAAATACATAATGCGCCGTTTGTTTAAATAGCTTTGTGTGTTACTTTCTTGTCAGTTCTGAACAGCACATGTCTGTCCTGGGGGGATTTCACTGCACAGTCTGTAGCTATGGACGAATATGGGCCCAGAGGCAAAAACTGCAATGGGACCCTGAATGAAATCAACCACCATTGCAGTATTTGCAAGTCTTAGTGGGAGCACGGGCCCTGGACAACTTATTAGGTGAAGAATATTCATCATCTTAGTCGAAAACTTTATAATTTCTTAAACAATTTAATGACAAAAATGACCTAAAACTCAGAGATGTTCATAGCTGTCACCTCTCTCTTTTTTTTTTTAATTCTCTTTCGTCACTGGGCATTAGTTTTCTAAATAAATTTGAGACATTAAGACGCAACTAACAAGACATAAGTGAACTAACTGGCAACTTAAGCTAAAGGAGTGAACATATAGGGAGGGAACATACATATACCTATGCACACACACACATATATATGCATACACATGTGCACACTGAGCAAGTGAAGCCTGAATCTATACCTTAAGGTATAAGAACAGGGAACAGGAGAGGGTTTCTCTCTCCTTTGCAGACCTCTTTTTTCCTAACCACCAAGCAAGAGAGCAGCAAGCTGGAGAAAATCAACGTACTGAAAGCCTTGGCACACAGTCGGGCATCTGTGAGTGGGATTCACTTCGCAGACAGGAGCAACAGGTAAGACACTCGGAAGCAGTCAGTGCTCTACAGCTGCTTGCCGACAGGAGGGGGCAGAAATATCAGGTGCTGCTCTGCATATCTGTGCTTGGCAGGTGTATTCATTAAAAGTAATTATGCCTTTTATCAGGTCAGGCAGTCATTTTATTTTGGCACTTTAGCGTGCTAGAGTTTTGTTCACTTATCAAATATTTATTTAAGGAAAACTCACTGCATATGCAGGTTTTACATGAATTAGCAGCAAAGTAATTCATTTGCAAGGCTTTTTCCTTCACTGGGCATGTATTGAAATGGGTTTTGGCGTAGTCAGTTAAATGTCTGTAATAGTATATCCTATTTCTACTTTAATTTTTGCAGCGCAGCTGAAAGGAAAAGCAGTCACCACTGTTTCCCCATGACGTCCCTTTAATTTAAACTACCAACTCCGAGCCTCCACTCCCTTGCCAGACCCAGAAAAAATGCCTGAGCTCACCAAAAAGGCTGCTCAGGAGAGGAGCTGAAGGTAAGGTGGGAGGAAAAGCAAAGGTTTGCTTTCCATGGAAGGACTCAGGGGAGCAACTTCAGCCTTTAGTTTTACAAAGTGTAAAAGAAGGAGGGTACTGCTGAGCAAAGTGCAGCTTGTGGGGTGCTTCCACTGTAGGTTTTAACTGTGTTCCCTGATTAAAAAGAGGACCCTGTTGGCAAGGAGAGGACTTTGCAAAGGGTGATGTCTGGGGATGACGGCCCTTGTGTGGTAGTGCCCCAGGGCACCCTTGGCAGGCACTGAGTCCCTCTGCCAGGCAGGGAGTTTGGGCAGCTGGGATCTGTGACAGGGAATCCAGTTTGGGCTCTGGGGACGCTGCCACAGGGAATGGGCAGCCCAGCTCATCCTCTGGAGACCCAGCTCACGGGTCTGCCCCACCTAAAATCAGGTGTGTCCCCACACAGGCCATTCAGCCCTGGTGCAAACACTGCCTCTGACCCTCAGGGACCTGCAACAGCTCCCTTGAAGCAGCAACAGTGTATTTTTAATGAAAAGGCACTCTGCTTAAACAGGTATGAAGACTTCCTACTTCTAAATGCATTTTTAATTGCAACATTTTATTTCAACTACTACAGTATCCTCTTCAAGCCCCTGGGTCTATTTAAAAGGCCTCGTGTCCAAGTAATTTTCCATATATATTTTATCAACTTTTAAAGGAAGACATTAAAATTTAATTAAAAAAAAAAGGAAACAATTGACCAAGAAGCACTTTATAATATCTAGGAAGTAGGCTCCAGCCTGTTTTCTGAGAACTAGTTGTTGCTTTTCCAATAAAGATAATTATCTGCTCTTCCCTGAGAGAGGGATTTATCCTATTGAATTGAAGAGTACTTTGAAGTAGGCAATGTAACAGCATCGCTACCTATCGCCAGCACTGCTTCTGAAGGTGGCTAATCCATGTTACACTATCAGATTGCACCTTTCCAGCCTGAACAGCCACACTTACAGTGACAGACATTAGCACTGGGCGGGAGGGGGGGGGAAATGGACGACAATCATGGTCTTTTCATGAATCCTCTCCATTAGACTCTGAAAATACTTCACTAATCTCACTCTTTAGTAATTCTGGAGAAATCATTTAAGAAATTACTTGGGGAAAATGGAGGAACAAAGCATCCATGTTTTCACTAGCATAACTGTTTCAGTGGACTTTAACAATCGGACAGGTTGTTCTTACCTTCACAATATCTTAAAATTCCATCTCATTTGAAAATTCATGCAACAACGCCAAATACTTAATTTATTTTCAAAGTAACTTGTGTAGCTCAATAGTACTTCTCCTTTGACTATGGGTGACCTCAGAGTTTAGCTTGGAAGCCTGATTTTTAGACAATTTATATCAGGTAAGATGAGACTCACCCTGGTCTTTACTTCTTCATTTCTTTCAGCCTCTTCATTTTTTGCACTCTTTGAGACTATTTAGAATTGGAAAATTGAGGCAAGAAGATTCACAGCACTGTATAATGAAAAACCATCCCTATGGAGCTTAACATCTTTACATGTCTCATTTAGTGTCCCAGTCCAGATCTGACTTGTAACAATACCTGTTTTACTTCATGAAACTTCTAACATAAAATTAACCCCTTTCATACTGAGACCACCAGTACTGTTCCCTGAACATTTATTTTTCTAATTTCTTTCATAATCACTGATCCATAATGAGCTTTGTTGCACTGTTGGAAACATTAGAACAGGGTCAATTTCAGAGTTAGCCACAAATGGGTTTTTCTTCAGCAAATCTTAAAAATGTCTTAGAAATTAAACAAGACTTGTTTACTTTTTTTGTATAAATTTGAATTTTTCATGTAGCTTCAAACCAAACTGCACAATTTCTAGCCCAATAGATGGACTTCCATCAAGACGACATCTCAATTCCTGTGCTGTACGAAATGGCAAAACAAAATAACTGAGTTCCAAATGCCCACTGATGCTGCATTATCTTACAAGAGGGACCATGAATATTACACATAAAATAAGTCTTAGTTCCTAATATGTGGCCGATTCTTGTCAATTAAAGGAAAAACCATGGCAGGCCTTACCAGTGTGGCTTCGTTTGTGAACCATGAGCACATTGGGACCGATGCAAATTATCCCACAGATATCACATTTTAGCTTTCCGTTAGGAAGTCGAATGCCTCCAACTCCTGACATAGCCTTGCTGCCTGGGCCATTGTGCGAGCCATTCATTTTCTCTCCCGAGGTATCAAGCATTCGTAAATCCTCCGCACATTCTTCCCCATTCATTTCACAGGCACGCCCATTCTCTTCATCACTCTGAGTCTCTATTTTAATATTACCGGCTGAAAAAAACAATACAGGGTGCCACTCAGTTTTGTTACAGAACAAATACGGTGGCAAAGAAACAATCACATCGAAGGAGATCGATAACTTCTAAACAGCATGTACAATATTCCTAAATAACAACAGCTACAAACACGACTACATTTCTATGGGCAATGCAATGAGTTGGTAACACACAGAGCAATGAACAGTGAATATCAGTAAGACAAATACAAGGCACCCAGACCAACCCAAACAACATTACAAGTCTGTTCCCAGGTCACTTTGAGATGCAAACATTTGCAGTGTTCATTTTGATAACTCAGGCTAATTGGAATGAAACTTGAAATGAATAAACAAATCCATTTCACATGGATTTTTCTAAAACAATTGTGAAAGTAAGTAACTAATCAAAGACAATGGATGAAAATGAACTGAAAATGCAACATTCTCCACTTGGCAGGAAGATCTTGAGGGTTGCACTGAATCCAAATATTTGGTTTTCTGTTCTTTCTATGGGTTAAGCAAGGACAACAGGAAAACAAAGAGTACAAACACAGATAAAGAAACCAGGATCGGGAAGGATGGAAGGAAGAATTTAAGAGTAAGAATTAGCATTACAGGAAATTACAGGAGTGATAATAATGTGTTTAGGACAGCAGGATTAGGATTGCTGAGTAACAGGAGAGGTTCTCCACAGTCATGAGCTTCTATTAAAAAGCAGTCAAATCAGCAAAGGTGGGTTGGAGAACTGCTTTGACTTTAGTGGATAAGTCCTTTGTGTTATAAACCCATAGGTCATAATCACTTGCAGCCAGAAGAACTCAGGTAGAAATTTGGCATAGCTTCACTACACGGGATAACACATAGGTTGGTAAATTTAATCTGATATGAACACAGGAAACCTAAACGTTATGGAAAAGGGCCAAGATTCAGATCAGTTAATGTCAGTATTCATTTCTGCTCTCTCCACAGGACTGTATGATGTTTTGTGTAGAATAAATAAACTTTACAGTTATTTCCCTCTTTTCTAATATGATGATTTATGTTAAAAAGTAGTTCTTCATTAGTCTGAAAAAAGACCGTTTCATTGCCCCAAATTTTACTTTCCTTTCAGTGCAAAACCTCTTTCTTCACCCCACCTCAAAAAGGAGAGCATTTACTTTAGGGGCTAGCTAAGTACATGAGGGGTCTGTTTCACCCAATAAAGACCAGGTCTTTTCAATTTGTGGAACAGTAATTTCATGGTAGGTGGTGGTGTAGCAATAACACAATTAGGCTATGAGCAATAACTACCTCAAGAGATGAAAGACCTTGACATTCATTTGAAATTGAAAGGTTTGACAAAAGGAGGACTACATGGATGTGACAATCAAGAGTATCTGACTTAAAATCCTACCAGGAATCACATCGAGCATAAAAGTGTTCACATTTCTGAACACTACTTGACTGGACACCTTTTATAAAGTCTGCCAATCTAGGCATTTTCATGATTTTTCAAATATTGCATTTTTAATAGAAATCATATGCAAGACAGAATGTGTGCCCATCATAAATAGCAGTTTGTTTTTTAAAATGTATGCACTGAAAAGGGGAATAATTTAAAAATATGGAAAAATAAAATCAGTGACCAAACAGTGATTTACAAAGATGGTGCAACTGGCTAAACAGAGGTTATCTACACTATTCTTCAATTTTAGTGGACTACAGCCCCATACTGCTGTTTTCACCATGGTGAGAGGAAGCAATTGAACTATTTGGCTTGAGCATATAACAGATTTTCCATAATTCACACACCAAGGCTTTTTTATCTTAATTATAAGAATAATAATTTAATGTAAATATATTTATATGAAACAACTATGGGCTCCTTGCCTGCCAGGGATTTGGAGAAGGTGGCTTTGCAGTAGGCTTTATAAGTTAAAACAAAATACATGTGAATGAAGCAACAAGATCAGACTACTTCAGCCCTTCAGTAGCATACACAGACAAACACACATTACTGAGAAGTGAAATGACACAAACAAAAATCATAGAAGTAGGAACTAGATGGAAATGCTCTGTAGTGAGCTGAGTTCGCAGTATACTTACAGGAAAAAGATTTGGGAATTATTGCATGAAAGTCCCTAAAGACTTCTGCCCCATACACAGCTGCAATAGAGAAGGCAAACAGGATGCTGGTTTGTGGTACTGCTAGCAGTAAATGTAAAAAAAGATGGCATTATTGCTGTAAGAGAAATATGTAGGAGAAAGACAGAACTACAGAGAAGCAACACAAGCAGTTTAGAGTGATGCAGGACCACCAGCAGCAGCACAGCTGGAAGGGGAATCCTGACCCTCCCAGAACAATTCCCATTTGTAAAAATGCCCTTTTCTTCCAATGCATCCAACAAGTTTTATCATGTTTTCTAAATGCGTAACCTCTCTTGAGTATTTCCAGTTCCTGCTGGAGTCAAGAGGATCTTTTGCTAAAGTGTCTGGAAAGGGTCAATGGGAGCAGAGCACCTAACACAACCTTCTCCGACCCCTAGGGAAACCACAGACCCCTGCAGTGAAAGCTTCCTGTTAGGATTCATTTTTTGCCAATATGCCCTCTTTGTGTGCCAGAGATCACTTCTTTATACGTCCTTGGTTTTAGTCACTGCAGTTGTTAAAAGTGAAATTGCATTGTTTTCTTCTCATGGCTGCTTGTCTTATACAATGGAAGAAGAGTGAGTTCAATTTTGTGTATGTGTGTGTGTGTGTATATATCTATATCTATCTATATATATATATATATAAAAAAAAAAATTGCATATATTGGCATATTTTTTGTTTGCATTTCTAAGGCTTGTCCTCACAATGTATCTACACAAAAGCAGCTGCAAAAACACATTATACCCTGCACAATATGAGTAGCCACGTGCAAATTAAGATGCCATGGGGCACACCGATAGAAGTAATGATGGAGCTCATCACATGACATAAGCAATAATAGGGATATTGATCCAGTCAATCGTCACTAAATCTCTCTGTAGGTATGCCCCTGGACTGCTGTAGCTGTGCTGCTCAATGAATGTCCCCACGAAGATGAGGACGAGCATCCAGGATGCCCTCACAAGTACATCCATTCGGCAGCGCAGCTCTCGGCAGGGGCTCGGTTTAGATGTGGAGCTCACCTCATCAGTAAGAGCTGATGAACGGTGAGGCCACCCACCTCCTGGGTCCTCATGGAGGTTTTACACGTCTAATTAACAAAGGAAAACTTTTCATGTCCAAACCGGTTTTCCAAATGCAAACTACTGAAAAAGCCTCAGTGATGTAGGAGGAACAACAGGAGAGAGAAATTGCTCCAGTAAAAATACTAAGGATTTTTATTAAATCTGAATGAGAAATGGGAAGGTAGGCTATGCATTTTTTTTTCTGGAGACTTTGACTGAAAATAAAAATCAACAATGTTTTGTATTTCTTTTGTGAGAAAAGTTCCTGTCCCTTCCTTGCTATAATAGGGAAAATCACTCTTGGAGCACTGCTGATGTGACAAATACCTGAGAATTGGACTTTTCAGATGCACTGATCAAGAACATCCTCAGCATTTGTAAGGGTTTCTCAAACAGGTACATGATATAGTTTTTGTAGAAATATTTTCTGCACACATCCATGACTATGTACACATACATGCAGACATTGATTAGGTCTACAATAATTCATGGTAATAATTTCTCAGTGGCTCTTCTAACACCATTAAGACATTACTCATTTACTTCAATTTGGTTGGAGATGACCTGAAAAGGCTTTGTATTTTACTCTTTTTGTACACATTATTGCAATTCAGGAGAGTATAATCCAAGCCCTTTTTTTTTGTGCAAGGACTGTCAAGCGCACCACCATCACTGAACTGGCAGCTCTCCCCCACTCCCTTTTTACCTACCCAGAGTCTGGAAAAGTGACCCAAAAACAGAGCACTGGGTGGGTCTCTTGTGCTCTCTTATGCTTACTAGGAGCTTTATTCAGGATTTTCTGAAAAGCGTTTGAAATTTATGTTATAAAGACTGTTCTGTGTTTTATGTTTAAAGATGGTTTATGAAAGTCTTTGGTAGAAAAAAACTAAGTTGGCCTGTGAAAGGAGAAGGGAGTGATGATATGATTTATCACTGAAGAGCAGAGTAGCTGGCTCAGCACAAGACTCAGGCTGGGACAGTTGGGAAGGCAGGACGGAGGGCGAGAGGACAGTGTGACACTTCCCTGGAAAGAGTTGAGCAATGTGGAGAGGGAAGGGAGGCATTTTACAATAAGCAAAAGAGTCGGTAGTGTGGAGAAAGGAGGAACCAGATGGACCTCCTGGGAAACAGGAGGTGGAGGGTGGCTTTTGAAGGACAGAGAAATAGGCACCTGGAGAAAAAGACATGTGAAAAATCAGTAATTTGCTTTCAATCCATTGCCAATTTACCTTCCCTTATAGCTATGGGACTCCCTCCCAGATGTAAAATCCTTTCAGTTTTGTGAGATTTTGGTACAGGCATAAGTTTAAGTACCTGGGCCAAAGTCTCATTTGGAAGGTGGCATTCACTTCTCAAGTCATATTAAAGAAAAAATCTGGCTATCACAGGAATTTAAAGAGTAACAGAGAAAGATAAATCTCACTAAAGCTTCTGGGACATTTTAACAATAGAGTTCACTAACATCTTTTGATTTTTAATGGGGTGTGAGCATCTTTAGTACTTTTATCCCAGTAAATATTTAACTGCATCTTATGGCATGTACCTTCCTTTAAGAAATTATCCTTTAGCCATTCTTTGAAAATAACCATGATAATCTGATTCTTGGTCCATGCAATGTCTCGCTTGTACTCTGTAGCAACAGCAAAGACCTCTCTTCAATTTGCTTCAAAGAATTTGGGTGAATGCATTTCTTGTTTGAATGGCTCATTTGTTTATTCAAGACAAGTCAGAAGTATTTTATTGATGTTAGCTGATGTTTAAATGGTAGCTTTGAAGTCCAACAAGAGTTTTTAATGAAGTCACCATAACTATGAAAGTAG